TAGCAAACATAGCTGCTACCCATGTAGCAGCGGCCTCTGCATGCATCGCCAAGTTGACACCAGTCTCCCGCACCACCATTGCAGCCATGAAGCCTCTTGTTGAGTTCCAAACGACAATCCCTATACCCCCATATGAACCATTCTCATCCCAAGCCGCATCAAAGTTTCCCTTTATCCAAACAAATTCTGAATCTGTCCACTTCTAAACATAATCCGTTTCTGAGTGTGGTTGAACCTCATTCCATTTCTTGAATTTCGTCAGCCACGTTTGGGCTTTAAGTTGCACCTCCAATGGTGATGCATCCATACCTTTCCAAATAAACTCGTTACGGATCTTCCAAACGCTCCACACCAACCCAAGAAGCAACTCAAAACTATCCTTAGTTACAGTTTTTGCCATACTGATCAACCATCCACCAAAGCCCTCCTCTATCCTCAGAAACATACGAATTCCCAATGGACTACCAAACTAAATTGCAGCTGATCGTGGGCACTGTAACAAAGCGTGTTCAACTGTCTATGGCTCTTTATCACAAAACCCACATATATCATCGGTGAGAACCCCGTCTATTCTTCAAATTCACCTTCGTTGGCAATGCATTCATACACCCATGCCAAACACATATTTTGACTTTCCCCGAGACCTTTGCACGCCACAGAGCTTTCCATAGAAATTTTGTCTCCTCATTTAGTGTAGATCCAACCGGTTCATCCTCACCATGACATGTTCGTGCCACAAAGTAAGCACTCTTAGTCATAAAGACAACCTTAGGCTCTTTAGTCCAAATCATGGAATCTGCTGGATTAAATAAACTCAAAGGGATACTCAAAATCAATCTTGCTTCCTCCTCCATAAACTAATTACGAATTAAGCTTGTATTCCAACGCATCCCATCATTGTCCACCATTAAAGAATGCACGGTCAAAGAAGGGTGCACCTCGGCCGGTCTGGGACTTAGCATTTTATAAAAATTCTCCCTTCGCAACCAACTATCCCCCCATATTTGTATACACAAACCATCTCCAACCCTCCATCGAGCACCCTTTTGAATAATAATCCTTGAAGCCGCTACACTTTTCCAACAATAGGAAGAATTAGATGAAGCTGAAGCTTGCAAAAAATCTGTTTTGGGATAATAATAGGCCTTAAAAATACGAGCAACCAGAGAATGAGGATATTAAATCAATCTCCACCCTTGCTTAGCCAACAACGCCATGTTAAAGGCATATAAATCCTTGAACCTCAGGCCACCCTCACTTTTTGGTTTACACAATTTTTGCCACTTCACCCAATGAATGCGATGCCCCTACCCCACCAAAACTGAGCTACCATTTGGTTCAACTCTTCACAAATTGACTTAGGTAACAAGAACGTCTGCATCGTATACAATGGTATCGCTTGAGCTACAGTTTTTATCAGTCATTCTTTACCCGCATCACTCAACAAAGAGCCCCACCATCCATTCAGCTTCTTCCAAAGACGGTCTTTAATATATGCAAAGGTCTCATTCTTCGACCGACCCACAAAAACAGGTAAACCAAGATAACCGTCATGATAATCCACCATTTCCATTCCAAGACAATCGGCCAATAACTGCACATCCATGACCGTAAGATTTCTACTAAAAGCCACACTGCTTTTAGCAAGATTCACCACCTGTCCGGACGCCCTTTCATAAGTTCGTAGCAACTCCTTCACCTGTAAGCATTCCTGGAAAGAACTCCTAGCAAAGATAAAACTATCATCCGCAAAGATGAGATGATGAACACTTGGGGCCCCATTACACACCTTGACACCTTGAATTCGACCTTGTGCTTCCCATTAGTTAAATAAAGCCGACAGACCTTTGGTACATAACACAAACAAAAACGAAGACAACAGATCACCTTGACGAATACCCTGTTTAGGTTGTACAAGACCCATATGCTCTCCATTTAGCTTGAAAGAATAGGATACAGTAGTAACACACATCATTATCCAGTGATTCATTCCTTTGCAAACCCTAACCTCCTCATCATTTGCTCCAAAAAACTCCATTCTATACGATCACACACTTTGCTAATATCCAATTTCAATGCCATCGCCCCATTCCACACATTGTTCTTTCTATCCATATAATGAGCGATCTCTGAAGCTACCAAACAATTATCGGAGATCAATCAGCCTGGAATAAAAGCACTTTCAGAAGGTGACACAATATCCAGCAATATAACTTTCAACCTATTAGTGAAAACCTTGGAACAATTTTCTTTGGAATCAACATAACATGCGTATAATTAATTTTCCGAAGCACATGCCCCAAGGAGAGAAGATACCTGACCCCATCACAAACATCTTGGCTGATAATCTCCCAATGTTTCTGATAGAACCCAAGTGACATACCATTAGGTCCTGGGGCCTTAGTTGGATGCATTTGGAAAAGTGTCTACTTAATTTCCTTGTTCGAAACATGCCGAACAAGTTTTTGGTTCATCTCTACCAAAACCTTGGGATTGACAACCTTCAGGATTTCCGTCGCATCCGCTTTACCTTGAGAGTCGAATAATTTTGTAAAATTCTCGACAATAACATTTTCCATACTGAGCTTATCTTCATGCCATGCTCCGGCTTCATTAAACAACCCATTAAGCCCATTTCTCCATTGTCTCTGATTTGCCTTCTGATGGGAATACTTAATATTTTGATCACCAAGTTGTAACGAATTTTCCTTGGACCGCTGACGCCAAAAACCTTCTTCTTGTGCCAAAAGAAAGTGCAACCTAGTATAGAGCTCATGTCGTTGGGTTATGGTTGTCTCAGTGAATGGCTAACCAAATAAAGAATTCAATTGATCCTCCGTTTTCAGAAATCTCTCCAGGGATGGAACATTTCGTGGCTTTAGCCCAATTAGCCAACTGAATACGTGTTGCTTTAATTTTTTCCATTACACAAAACATAGGTGAACTTTGAACTTCCGCCTCTCACCCGTGTTTAATCGCAGCCCCACAACCCTCCTTTACGGCCCAACCTTCTTCATAGCGAAAGTTTTTTTTTTTTTTAAACTAACTCGTCTCTGAAGAATCCAATCCACCAGTATCGGTATATGATCTGACAATGTGGGCTTTAAATGGGTGACTTTATAACATGGAAACAAATCCACCTAACTCTGTGTAGCTAACACTCTGTCCAACCGAACTTTGATTCCTCCACCCCTAGTTGTTACCAAAGTGAACTTATTCCTTACAAACCCCAAGTCTTGGAGTTGGCAACAAGTAATGGCATTACGAAAGCCCTCCATTTGGTGTTCACTATGAATATCACCTCCTTCCTGCTCCTCTACATGCAAAACCTCATTAAAATCTCCCATGCAACACCACGGCAAGCTAGAAATATCCCTCAGCCTCTAAAGTAAACTCCAAGATTTGTGTATGTCCCCCTCAACCAGATAAGAAAGTAAATCTCCAGTGATTCGCATCACCCACCCCTCATACCTCCAAATCAATATGATTAGAAGAATAGGATCGTAACAAAAGATTAGCTTCCGTCTTCCACATGGCACATAAACCTCCTAACCTTGCTGAACTAGGAACTGCAAACATAACATAAAACCATAACTGTGATTTTAATCTCTCCATATGCTCCTTCGAGCTTTTAGTTTCACACAAAAAAATCACTATGGGATCTTTACAGAGAACAAGTCTCTTAAGTGCCCGAATTGCCCGGAGGTTCCCAAGCCCCCGACAATTCTAGTTTATACAACTCATTGGGCTTGGCGGGGCTGAACTCCGTCAGCCTCTGCCGCTGTAGAACTCATTGAAACCGAAATAGCACGTCTCTTGGAAACAGGTAAATCCCACACCTTCTCTTTCTCTCGCATACCTCTTTTACCAAGCTCTGGGGGGGGGGGGGGGGGGGGGGTACAAAGGAATTTCTTTGGGACTTCCTATTTTTCTTCCGTCGAGTCCCCTTGCCATTTGCACGAGAACTACCATTAATCCTTGGCCCAAAGATAAATGGATCCAAGTTAAACGGATCAGATCCCGTGGAGTGTCCAGATACATTTCCCCCTTCGTGACCACCAGTGTTCACCCTCGCTCCATACCCTTCTCCCGATAAAGTGAGTTCCAGACTCCCTGACAAAACCTCTGCGCTGTCTCCTCCAGTCCTACCCTTGGTGTACTCTCAGTCCCAAATAACATTAGAGGTTTCGATGTATCACTCTCCACTCCATCAACTTGACAGTCCATACATTCAGTTTGGAACCCAATAGCTTCCCTCGGCAAAGTTGATGACAATGGTCCAATATCCCCACTACCCTGATCATCAAGAGACACATTCAGATGAGGTACAATGTTCCCAACGTGATCGCTCGCCCTCCGTGCCTTGTGCTCAATCACCACGTCATCCATACGATCATCCAAATCCTCCGCTGGCGGCACAGTCATCACCCAACCCATTTCAGCATCAAGCCCAAACCTTCTCCCTGTAGGTCAGATGTAATCCTTGTCGAACACGTCATCTTGAAACCACCTCCCATAAGGCTTATCCCTATCTTCCATCTGAGTACCATCATAACGCTCACACTGATCTTCAAGCATGTTAACGGCAATTTCTCGTACCTAGCTAGCATCAATATTCAACATCGAGCTTCCAGTTGTACAGTTACATACCGTCGTAATGGCTTCCTCACATCCATTCGCACCCTAACACATAGGATGCTACCAAAATGCTCCTTCTTTCTACTTTGATCAGTAGGAACATATTCCCCAAGAAGGTTCTCTAAAAACTTTTCCATGGGACGCGTCATATAGCATAGGGGTAGACCCTTAAACAAAACCCAGAATTCTTGGAAAAATAATGGGATCCTAGCAATTTCTCGTACCTAGCAGGATATACCACCGGTGGTCACCCTCGCTTCACACACTATTTTTCTGCTTCTACACTCCTTTTATTTTTTAGAAGCCAAACAAGAGTATATAAATTGATGCCATACCATACCACCATTAAATTGGTCTCCAAATGTGTCAAAAACTTAAACCATTAACATTTAACTGCAATACGATTCCACAACAAACAGAACAAAAGGGAAGGTCTATGAGAGCCTTGACCATAACATGTGAAGCATAAACCAAAACTATCATAATTCTACTCAAAGCTAACGGCAAACCCAACTAATACAGCTCACTTTCCTTGTGAGTGTGAATCACAAGGTCTGAAGTCGGGTACGAGACACAAGTCAGCACATAACCCTCCTTCATTTGATTGTCGTCGAGGAATGAACCATCGGACTGATCCACTGAACCTGATGCCAGCTTCCCCGCACAGGTAGAGCATGCCCCAGCCCTGCAAGAATATGGCAGCTCAACTCCGGCATTCTCAGCTGCATCTAAGATGTAACAATCATCCGCCGCCTCAAATTCGTTCTCCACGCCATCTGGTCCAATCAATTTAACCTTGTATACTTCCATTGATGCCCGGGAGTTGGAGGATGCTTTCAAGCCAAAGGACTTTGAGATATTCTTCACAGATCCAAGAGGAGAAGATAACTTCACAATTGAACTGGTGAACCACTTTTTGGGCGCATGTCTGAACATGCATTGGGAGGGAACTTGCACGGTTGTCATGGCTGACTTGTTTACCCCTGAACTCATACACCAGTGAAGAAGAAGATTAGTAAAAGCAAAAGCACAGAAAAGAATCTGGTGAATCAACATAAACATCATCATTAACAATTCTGACAAGTAAAATCAAGTTAACGAAAATATCAAATGATGGATAAGGCATTTAAGCACCATTATAACAACAAGGAATTCACACAGAACAGAACTTTGTGTTGTGCCTTGGTCCGTTCATTAGTGCGGAAACGAGATTCAGATTACAACCTCACCAAAATCACACTCAGTTGAACAGAATAAAATACAAGAAATAAAGACACCGAGAAATTTACGAGGTTCGGCAAAAATCCTGCCTACGTCCCCGGAGAGATATTGCTCTTCACTATGAGAATAACAGTACAAGTACACATGAGTTAAATCGACATAACCCAATCCCAAATCCCTTGTACACCCACTCATAGAATTTTCCCAAGAGCCTCACTCTACCCCAAAAGTTCTTTCACTAGAATACTTTTCACTCTAGCTCTCTTGATTTTTTCTCTCACCCATGCCCATGCTTTCCCATGGGAGAGCCGAATGCTCTCCCCCTTTGGATGCTCTCCTAATGCCCTTGCACTCCCTCGGCAAACACTCTCAATATAATGCAAAGGCATCATCATTAAAGCCAAGCCATCATCATTATGTCTTGCATCATCATTAAAGCAAAAGACAAACATCATCATTAAAGCAAAAGCAAGCATCATCATTATGTTTTACTCATGATGATGTCCACCAGACTTTTGCTTTTACTTTGTCTGCAACTTTCATGCAACCCACACCATGTGATATTTCCACCGAAAGCAAACACAGGTCACTTCATTGTTGTTAACACTTGACTCATAATTACTCGCAAATGTATGAGCCAAACACAACACTTTGATCATAGAGTGCAGAGTTTATTATCCAATATCAACTAACAGCAAAGTAAATGCATATATACAACAACAACAACAACAACAACAACAAAGCCTTTTCCCACTAAGTGGGGTCGGCTATATGAATCCTAGAACGCCATTGCGCTCAGTTTTGTGTCATGTCCTCCATTAGATCCAAGTACTCTAAGTCTTTTCTTAGGGTAAATGCATATATACAAGATGAAACAAATTAAACTATTCAAACACCTAATCAGCCGCAGCCCTCAACACCTATACCGCTACCCATAGCTTGGATGCGTTACTGATTAGCATTATACAGCACTACCTGCTCTTGAATTTCAGACCGTCACTCCAGCCACCCCGACTGAACAAGAAGGGTGATACTTGCAGTTAACAGAATTACTTGTATACACTGAACAATCCTAAAAGGATGAAACCAAACCATCCCCTGTGAAAGACAGCAAGGGAATCAATGTCCGGTGCACTATGAGAAGAAGCAAGCTCACTCGAGGCTCCGTTTTGGTTAACTAGCATACATAGGCTATTACTTTAAACCCCAGATAATATCTAAGGAAAACTAGAAGTTGTACGAAAAGTATGCATCCACTATTGAAACAACAAACAACAACAAGAAGTCTTATCCCACTAGGTGGGGTCAGCTACATGAATCCTATAACGCCGTGCTCGGTTTTGTTCATAAGGATTGGACATAAGAACGGAGTGCCGGCTGTCCCACTATTCAAACCCGGCGCTAAAAATTAAAACTACCCATCACAAGAGCTCATATGATATAAAGTAACCATCAACTTCGTCATGAAAAAACCACTCATGGGAACTCATGAAATAATTCATCAACTTATGCTTTCGCAGGAAGTGATGTCATTTCAACATCTAGTTAACAAAACAAGGCAAACACAAAAAGTAAAATTCACAATAAACCCATCAAAAACCAAAGATTATAAATGATTATAAATAATTATAAATAACACTACATGCGATTATATGATTTTGCTTCTCAGCCAGATGCCATCATTGACCATTTTTAAACATCCATAACAAAAATTTCGAAACAAAAATTTCGAAACAAAAATATTCTCACCAATTCGACACAGAAGGCAAATTAAATCAGTATTAAAATAATGGTGAAAAGGCAAATTAAAAATAAGATTAGAAATTCAACTAATACTTGATTAATTAAAGAAGGAGGTTTTAATGGCAGAATCAAAAACAGTTTTCAACTTTCTATATCTGCTAAGATACGACAAAAGATCATTACAAGGGCCGATCTTCAGTTTCAATCTATAATTCAGCTCAAACGCAAAAACCCAAAATTATAACCTAAAAACAAAACCCAGATTGAAAAGAACAATTACCAATTAACAGTAAACATTAAGAAGATCAAACCTCAAAAACCAAAGATCCAAACGTGACATGCAAATACAAATATGTAGAGAGAGAGAGGGCTTACGGAGTGAGAGGGAGGGTTAGGTGAGGAGAGATGTGAGAAGGTTGATGAGGACTGACGTGGGTGGGGATGTTTTTGATTCGGCAGAGCGGAGAAAGCGAGGCAGAGGAGTCACCGTTTATGATGACTATTTATAGACAGAGAGAGTGTGAAATGAATTGGTAGACGTTCTAGCTATCCGTACACTCCTTAATTTTATGTCTGCCATATCTAATGAACTAAATAGAATTAAAGACAAAAATAAACATATAGAGAATATGAGAGATAACAGAAGGTGTGTGGTCATGAGGAGGAGGCTAAAATATTTCTGTGAATATTATGTGCTCAAAAGAACCAGACATTTCTAACTTCGTCACCAATTAATTCCATTAAAAAAGAAAAAACACCACCCTTATAAACAATGGCATTATTCACACACTTGTTTTACGTCGCACACAGAGCTTGTAAATTTATATTCTTTAATTCATTCGATTAATGACTAAAAATTTAAGAATATGTGAAAAATAAAAAAAAGTGTGTATAGCCTACGTTATAAAATCTAGGACTCTGTTTTCATTAACAAATGAGAAAAGGATGGCGTTTGGCATATTTTGAAAGCCATTAAAGCCAAGGACATTAAAAGATCCCCGTTGCAAGGGGCCAAAAGGCCCAGACCCACACTCCTCTCTTTCTTTATTTTTCTATTACCTCAATTATTCATTTGCCCCCATTACAAAACTTGGTTGTTACTTTTTATATATATATATATATATATATATATATATATATATATATAAAAAGTAACAACCAAGTTTTGTAATGGGGCATATATATATAAAGTAACAATCAAGTTTTGTAATGGGGGCAAATGAATAATTGAGGTAATAGAAAAATGTATATATATATGTATATAGGGATGTGTTTAAATAACTGAAAGCGAAAAAAATCAAGCCGAACATCGAACCAAAGCAAAAAACAACCGAACAAAAAACAACCGAACCGAACTGAAATAGGTTGGTTTGGTTTCGGTTTTGGTGGTCCAAAAAACTGATCGTACCAAACTAATTTTTATTTAATTATTTAATATATATTAATTATATAAATTTGTAACAAATACTCAAAATCTAGGTGTTTCGAACCCTGACCTCCAGGTTAATAGTGTTTGCTTCAACCAACTTGACAACAAGCTTTGTGCTACTATAATCATATTAGTAAAACATTTATACTGATTATGGATCTTTAATTCTTTATAAGATTTCTAAACACAAAACCCTAGCCGTCCCATTTACTCCCATTTCATCTCTTCTTTCAACTAACTTATCAGCCTCTCTCTTTCCCACCGTCAAATTCTTGCACCTCCGTGCTCTACTTTCTTAGTTTCTTCCTCTCCTCCTCCAAACCCCCAAGTCTCTGTAAGAGTGGCCCAGAGAAGATCGAACCAGAGAAGCTCGGCATTTTTGATATCTCTCTTCAGCTCAAATCTAACTTTTAGTTGACTAGATCAACAAAGAGCTATTCCGGACTAAGTACGACACCGTATGGACCCCTTCCATTCAGTCACTAGGACCCACTCATCGTTCTTCTAGGTAATCTTTCCATGCCCTTTGTTAACTTCTTGGATTATGAACATTATTTGCCCTTAGAAATTAGAATATTTAGCCAAATGAGTCTCTGATTCTGGTGGATTTTTTATTGTTTCTGGTTTTGAACGTTTGATGGGTTCTCAAATTTTGAAAAATTACACACGTTTTGCCTTAAAGATTGAATCTTTATTCAACCAGGTCTGTGATTATGGTTGGTTTGGAGTTGTTTATGATTGTGCATGCTTTTTGGTACTTGATTGTGGAGAATGTGGATTGGGTTCTCAATTACTTTTACTTCAATTTTGTTAAAGTTGATTTCTTTTGCTTTTTTCATGATTTGGTTTATGGGTTCAAATTGAAGAATGCGACACCAGTGAGATACGCAGAGGTGCATGTGTCAAGGAAGGATGAGGCTTCGTACATGAAAGATATAACATTGGAGTAGGGTGATAGGCCAGAGATTTACATGGAGGAGCATGAGAAGTTGTTGGGCAACACTGATAAGACCTGGACTATGTTTGTGGATGGTTATGGAAAAGATGGAAAGCGGATTTATGACCCAGTTAGAGGAAAGACTTGCCATCAATGTTTTAAGATTTCAATTTTTGAAAAAAAAAAAAAACCGAAACCGAAACGAACCTAACAGAAATTTCGGTTCAGTTTCGGTCTTGACAAAAAAAGGAATCGAATTGAACCGAACCCAGCCCTAATCATATATACTAAAAATGAGTTTCCCCCCGGCACTGTTCATCACCAGTGTTTGGACGGAAATGCCCTTGATTTTTTATTTTGTTTGATGTTTTGCTGCCTGTTTTGCACACTTAAATGCCTGTTTTGCCCCTTATTACCACACGTTGATCATCTTTTGTTAGTGAGCTTCGATTACGTTCTCTTCACTTTACCTTTCTGTTTATCTTTTGTCTCTTGCAAGCTTTTCCTCTTCTCTGTCTTCGTCTTGCTTTCTTCGTGTTCGATCCTTTGTTTTTTTTGGGGGAAAAAATTGGGTAAAATCATTTTATCCTGATTTTGCGATCGTCGAGGAAAGAATTTCAGGGTGTTGATCTCTGTTATCATCGGCGATCCCGGAGTTGGGACTGGCTTTCCGGCGATTTTTTGTCGATTTAGCGGCGGCGCGGTTTGAGATTGTTGTCTAAGAAATCAAATTCAACTCAGGTATGTTCTGAAAGAGTTGTATGTAAGTTCGTGTTTCTGATTTGTGTTGTTTTGAGGAAACCCTAACAATTTCGTTATGTGGTGAGTTGTAGTGTTTTGTTCAAAATTTGTGAGCTAGGGTGTATTTTGTGTTTTCCTTCCTCCACTGAGAAGTTTGTGAAATCGCAGGGGTTGGAACACCACTATTGGTTTGGGTATGCTCTCTCTGGCTCCACTTATGTTTGATTCTATTTTCCTTTCTTATTTGGATAAGTGGAATTTTGGGTTTTCTTTTTTATGTTTAATTTTCCATAATTTTATTTGGTTCAGTTTAGAGTCCTCAGAAGAAAGACATTTATTCTGTAATCCATTAGAAACCCAAATGGACGGAGGATGCACTGGAGATTCGGTTCCCTTTTTTTCACTTTCGGGTTTGCATACATTTTGTGCATTTCCCTATTGAGTTTTCTTTCTGAAAAGATGGTAATTGAATGGAATCTTGGCCTGGCTATTATTTTATGACAATACAGTTATAACTTATAACCATTTTACATAGATCAACACATATGTATATTGAATTTAGCTACATTACTCGAACAATTTGCTTTTCGATTTGTGAAGGGAATTAAAAAAAAACCCATTATCTATGTAAAAGTTTAGTTTCCAACTTTCTAGCAGTGAAAATGTTGCCCTTTCTGTAGACTACCCTTTCACACACTCACTTTGATATGGTTAAACATATATATTCAAGATTTTGATCTCTGTGAGATTTGACAACTTTTCACCTAATATTCCTCTCTCTTGCTCATTAAGGCATTCATTGCATTAAAAAAAAGGTTCCCAGTTAATCAAGTATAGCCATAAATGAAAGCCAAAACTTTGTCCATTCAGAATTTCTACTGTGAGTAATTTCCCTTACATTAGGATATTGGATTCATTTGATACCAATAAGTTTTTTATTTTACATCTTCTTCTTGTTGCGCATCTCCACGATCATTACTAGATATCTTAACCGCTTCAATGGCTTCATTTTTCGTATCTTTAACAGGATGAAACTACACTAATCTGGTATTCATATGGAGAAGAACGAACTCTAAAATTAGCTTCTGTCTCTCGAATTATCCCCAAATAGAGAACAGTGAGTATAATACTCCACTACCAATAACTAATCAATATTGTTGTGTTTCAACTTAGTAATTGTGTGTTTCAGTATATAATTATGAACCACTTTTGTGTCCTATTTGATGGAATAAATACTTCTACTGCTTCTTCATAGGTTGTGTTTAGAAGGTATTTGCACCCATAAAACTCAGTGATAAACATCTTTGTTTATGTAATTGGATTAGAATTTGATTATGTGGAATAAAGTTATTCTAACAAATTAGAAATAAAGTTGATTTTTTGAGTTGTTTAAGTGGCGTCCACCACCTGATATTTTGTGTTTTTATTAACAATAACAAGAAGATGCAATGAATGCATTACTCTATAATTTGTGTGGGTGCACGGAAAAATCTTTCGTTGGTTTGAAATCTTTGTTCGTGTCTTTAATTGGTTAATTTTTTTAACTCTGTTTCTCTTGAGGGACTCATGCATGTTTACAGTACGAAATAATAATTATTTTTCTGGTTGCAAAATTTATAGTTGTAGTGGTTGGTTATGAGTGGAAATCAGGTTTTGTTCATTTTTATGAGCTTCCTAAGTTTTATACAGTTTACTCGGTTGATAACAGTTGATGATATTTTGTATTACAGGGTTTGATAAATGTTCGCAATTCAAGTTTTCAAACTGTTTTTGCTACCTTTGACCGCGCGCTGTCATCCAGGTAATTAACTTGGACATCTACATTTATTTGTTAAACTTTGATTGTATGGTTCCATTTTGTTTTCTGTGATTGGAGATAATTTGGTTTTATTGTCGACGTGCTGGAATCTGTTTTTTTGTTTGATCAATGTGGCTATGCATGCATTGTAAGAACTAAATAAATGACAACTATTTGTAATAATTTTTTATCTTTGTGCTTAACATCATCTCACATATAATTGGATTAAAATGTGATTATATGGAATAAAGTCATTTTTACAGATTATAACCAAATATTAAAATGTTTGTATGTTGCATTACATGTGAGAAACTGTTATAAATAGGCAAAATTTAGAGAGATAACCTTTACTCTGGACAAGAACGAAGCAGTTGCAGATTATTATACCAACACAAGCTGTTGCAGAGGAAGTAATGTATATTATTGCTATTAGATGTTTTTCTCTTCCAAGTCTAATTTGATCAAATGTAGTGCTTTATTTATAGAGCAACCTCATAGGAAACAAACAAATGACACTATTAAACTTGTGAGTCTATACTATACACATGTAATACTTTACTATACACATTACTATACACATGTGGGCAAATATACCCATTATTTACAACACTCCCCATTGGATGCTCACATATCAACATCAGTTGCCTCATTAAAACC